CTGGTTCAATTTCTAATGAAAAAGTCACATCATGAAAAAGTGGTTAATGTGTAAAATCACAAGACTGAATAATCAGAATTGCAAAATATGTCTCAGATTTAAGAGCTCACAAATATGGAGTTCACCTGTATATTTGACTTTCGGCCTGGAGTTCCATTTTAACGGTCTCCGGTTCTTATTCATATCAAGACATTATCTGCATACACTCACCGGCCACTTTATTAGATACACCTGTTCAATTGCTTGGTAACTCAAATTGCTAATCGACCAATGACATGGCAGCAACTCAATGCATTTAGGCATCTAGATGTGGTGAAGACAACATGCTGAAGTTAAAACCGAGCATCAGAATGGGGAAGAAAGGGGATTTAATTGACCTTGAATGTGGCATAGTTGTGGGTGCCAGACGGGCTGGTCTGAGTATTTCAAAAACTGCTGATCTACTGGGATTTTCATGCACTCAACTCTAGCATTCACAGAGAATGGTCAGAAAAAGAGAAAAAAATCCAGTGAGCGGCAGTTGTGTGAATGAAAATGCCTTGTTGATGTCAGAGGTCAGAGGAGAATCGGCAGGCTGGTTGCTGTGACATTCAGATGGTTGGGTCAGAATTTGGTATAAACAACATGAAAGCATGGATCCATCCTGCCTCGTATCAATGGTTCAGGCTGGTGGTGTAATGGTGTGGAGGAGATTTTCTTGGCACTAGCAAGGTGTACCTAATAAAGTGGCCGATGAGTGTAGAGCTTGTTTGAGTTTCCTTTGGGTACTCCATTTTCCTCCCACACTCCAAAGACATGCTGGTAGGTTAATTGACTCCTGTCCAAGTTGGCCCTAGTATGCATGCATGTGAAATAGCGACCTTAGATTGTAAGCTGATTGAGGGCAGGGACTAATGTGAATGTACACAAAAGGATAATGTCAGCGCAAGCTGATAGTTCACTGTGAAGGGTAATCATCCACGTTGTGGCCAATAAAGCTGATAATCATTGAATCCGTTAAGCTGTGATGTGTACGGATATGGACGGACAGCATTTACAGCATGGCAAGTCTTCTGACAGAGAGAAGAAAAGAGGAAAGAGGCTCTGCTAAGTGTATATTGTCTACTACGCCCCATATCACTCACATATCCAATTCTTAGACTCGTGAAACAGATCCAAAACTTGAGCATATGCTGTTCATATTCTCTATCATACTCTTCACACTCCCATGACGGAAAATGCTGCTCAAAGGTCAAAAGACAATATATCTCTTTGCGCCTTTCATATATGCTGTATATTTCCTGGATTGTAACATTACGTTGACACAATGTTTTACAATGGTATGTTTTGTATTGCCTGTTGTGATTTGACCCGTCTGGGACACGGGAAGCGCCATACAGTGATATGTCTGACCTTTGATTTCCGTTTGTACATGTATCATTATGAATGCTTTCTTCTAATAAAAATCTTTTTTTGAAAAAAAAAAGTGTATATTGTCATAAAATTTACTATAAAAATGTGATAAAATGCACTCACATATGGTAAGATAGTAGTAGGCACATCATAAGTCTGTAACCGGTGTTTCATCTATTTCCACCTCTATTGAGTGTGCAGCCATCGCTCTCTCGTCTCTATGGTTGGCCAGTTGGTACAGTCAAGACCAAGAAGAGGACTGGAATGCAGGTGGAGTTCAGACAGAGCTTGAAACTGGGCATAATTACATCACTGGATGTGATGCAACACGTTTCGGAGCATGTGCTCAAGTAACTTCCTCAAGCTCTTGCACAGCCTGAATAAAGTTACGGCTCTCATTGCTGCCTAAGGAAGAGATTCTTAGTGTTTCAAAATGTTGCTTTTTTTAAAAAAATAAAAGTGTCTCATTTTTTAGTTTGAACATTATTATTATTATACAGTATTTATATAGCGCCAAAGGGTATGCTCAGCGCTGTACAGTAGCAAGGGGGACAGAACATGAGACAAGACAGTAACAATGCAATACACAAGGGGTTCGAGGGCCCTGCTCTTTCGAGCTTACAATCTAGGAGGTGCAATGGTGTGCTGATGATATCTTGGATTTCACCAAAGAACACTTTTAAAATTGGGTCTAATCACTAAATTTTTTTCAGGTGCTTATATAGCACCATAAATTTATGCAACACTTTACATATATTGTACATTCACATCAGTCTAAGGTTTCTAACTTACACTCATACACATACGAGGGCCAAATTAGGCAAGAGACAATTAGCCTATCAGCATATCTTTGGAGTGTGGGAGGAATTTTGAGTGCACCCACACGGGCACAGTGTGAAAACATGCATACTTCGGGCAGGTAGTGCCGTGGTTGGGATTCAAACTGATTACCCTAGTGCTGCTAGGCCACCACTTAGGCTTCATGCACACTGGGCATTTTAATATTCGCATTTTAAAAGTTTTTCAGTGTTTTTTTGTGTTTTTGCATTAGCATTGAACAGCGTTTAAAAGCGTTTTTCCTCATTTTACGGTTTTTAGCGTTTTTTACACAAAAAATGATAAAAAATGCCAGTTTGCCACGTTTTACCACATTTTGCCGCATTTTTCAGCATTAGAACATTTTACAGCCAAATAACTGTTCTAGAAACCCACAAGTTTGGGGGTTTTTTTCCAGCCAAAAAAGCTGATTAAAGCCTATGTGTGCGTGGACACATAGGATAACATGATGGGAAGTTTATTGGCTGTAGAAAATGCCAAAAGCCAAAAACAGTAGCTGTAAAAATGTCCAGTGTGCATGAGGACTTAGTCCCTCTGCTGCACTTTTTGGAGTGCAGTGGAATTTTCGGATTTACATACGGTATATATGGGTCATTGTCCTGTTGCATCACCCATCCTCTGCGGAGCTTCAGTTGTTGGACAGATGGTCGTATTTTTTTTCTGCAAAATGTCTTGATAAACTCTGGAATTCATTTTCCATCAATGACAACAATCCGTCCAGGCCCTACAGTGGGGATGAAGTTTTGATGTTGGTGTGCTGTGCCTTTTTTTCTCCACACATAGTGTTGTGTGTTCTTCCCAAACAACTCAATCTTGGTTTCATCTGTCCTCAGTATATTTTGCCAGTAGTGCTGTGGAACATCCAGGTGCTCTTTTGCAAACTTCAAACAAGCTGCAATATTCTTTTTGGACAGCAATGGCTTCCTCTGTGGTGTCCTCCCATGTACTCCATTCTTGTTTAATGTTTTCCTTATTGTAGATGTGTCAACAGAAATGTTAGCATGTGCCAGAGATTTCTGTAGGTCTTTAGCTGACACTCTGGGATTCTTCTTTACCTCATGCAGCATTCTGCGCTGTGCTCTTGCAGTCATTTTTACAGGACGACCAAGCCTAGGGAGAGTAGCAACAGTGCTAAACTTTCTCCATTTGTAGACAGTCTGTCTTACCGTGGACACATGAACATCAAGGCTTTTGGAGATACTTTTGTAACCCTTTCCAGCTTCATGCAAGTCAACAATTCTTGATCGTAGGTCTTCTGAGAGCTCTTTTCTGCGAGGCATGGTTCACATCAGACAGTGCTTCTTGAAACCAGTAAACCCAAAACAGGTGTGTGTTTTTTAAGGGCAGGACAGCTGTCAGCAACAAATCCAATATCATCACACTGATTGGAGTCAAGGTTGGCTCACTCCTGGCTCCAATTAGCTCTGGGAGAAGTCATTAAGCTAGGGCCTCACATACTTTTTCCTCCCTGCACTGTGAATGTTTACATGTTACGTGCAATTAAACCATGGCAACATCTAATGTTTGTGTAGTATTATGTTCAGCAGACTGTGTTCTTCTATTGTTGTGACTTAGATGACGTTCAGAGCACATTTTATGCCCAATTCATGCAAAACTCCACGTAATCCCAAGGGGTTCACATACTTTTTCTTGCAACTGTAGGTAGCCTCAAATAAAATGCTAATTTAAAATGCCCGGTACCAAATTATTTTTGATGATTGATGTCATTCTTAATACTACCACTGTTACTTTTCAAAAACAAAAGGCCATTCTGCTGAGTGTTCAAAGAACTTTCAGAAACTATTCTAGAGAGGTAGGCTTAATGTAACCTTGCACAGACACACTGACAATTTCATTAGTACTTAATAAATTCACTTAAGACATTAGACTTTTCAGTATATTCCCAATGACCTAGCCAGTGTCTTTTGACAACAACAAAAAATCTTTCCACCGTGTGAACGCGAGTTCAAGGATGAAATGAAGATGTAGTTTTCCCTTTTTTTGTGTAGAAATCATTCATTCTGTGTGCATTGCTTAATGGGCTATCCTGAATTAAATTGAACCTACCAGGAATTTTTATACGTGCTTCTTTAGCTCACTAAATGGAGGAGATGTCACTTTCATAAAGAAGAAATGTGGAATCTTTAGCCAATTCTTAATACATTCATGAATATCAGACATTAATAGCAATGAAAATTGCACTCTAGCAAGTTCAGAAATCCTCCATCTGCTTTTATTCACTCATTCGTTTAACTAAAGTTTTACTTCATTTTTTTTTCTATTTTAAGGTGATACCTTATTGATAAGAGGTTAATAAAGCTTGAACAAATCACCACATTTTTGAAAATCCTTTCCATACTTTCTCCTGGATTTATTAAGCTAAAGTGTTAAAAAGCACCTACAGCCAAATAGGCCAGCCTGCCAAATCTGTTCTCCTAAAGTGTACCTATATCGAGAGCAGAGCGATATGACCGCTCTACTGCCAACACTAAAGAGGGTTAATGGCACCACCAATTAGTTTGGATATACTATATATAGAAGCTTTTTCAGTTGCTGTTCAGACTTGGGAAAGGAGGCCATGGCTCTGAAACGCATTTTGTCGGCAACCTAGCATAAGCTAAGCCACCTGCTCCACCTCATCTGCAGTGGTCTCCAGCTTTTTCCATAGTAGCGTGGGCACACTGCAGGTCTTGTGAATCTGACAATGCAGGGATCGGGGTGGACTAACCATTTGGAAACTCGGGCACCGTCCAAGGGCCCGGGGTCAGTAGGGGGCCCCATGAGATGCCCCTGGTACCTTTTCATAGGCTTTTTTGAGTTTGGGCAAGGACACAGGGGCCCCATGATCCCCTATTGCCCGGGGGCCCCATGAGTTGTCAGTCCGCCCCTGGCAGGGATCCTCCATCTACCCAGCCGGTATTTACCATTTAACATCATCTCTGAGCAGTAAAAGGAGCGGCACGGTTGAATAATCCTCCCACCACCCACAGCATGTCCAGGAGATGCATGGAGACTCTCGCTTGGATTTGAGATAAGTGATAGGCTCTACTTCTGTAAATGCATTGGATTATGCTTTTAATTGTGTTTTACAATAAAAAGAATTCATTTCACTACGCTCTGTGCATTTTTTGTCTTTGTGGTGACTGGTTCCCACTAATACTCAGAAAGAAGTATTGACCCCAAGTGGTTGGACTGAATTAAGGAAGCATTGACTTTACTGCAGGAGGTCTCGTGCTGTTTGTTAATTATTATTATTATACAGGATTTATATAGTGCCAGCAGTTTGCGCAGCACTTTACAATATAAGGGAGACAGTACAATTGCAATACATTTCAGTACAGAAGGGCCCTGGTCATGGAGCTTACAATCTAAAGGAAGGGGGAGGTGATACAAAAGGTGATAGCTGTGGGAGATGATCTGGTGGAGGTGATTCAAGTACAGTTCTTAGGTGGAGGTGATTCAAGTACAGTTCTTAGGTGGAGGTGGGGTAGGCTTCCCTGAAGAAGTGAGTTTTCAAAGATCGCCTAAAGGCAGACAGGGTGGGGGTTGACCGGACATGCTGTGGTAGGGAGTTCCAGAGGATGGGGAGGCTCTGGAGAAGTCCTGGAGGCGAGCGTGGGAGGAGGTGATGGGGGAGCTAGAGAGGAGGATATCACGGGAGGAGCGGAGTGGGCGATTTGAGCGGTATCTGTGGATGAGGTTGGTGATGTAGATAGGGGCAATGTTGTGGATGGCTTTGTAAGCTGTGGTTAGTATTTTGAATTTTATACCTTGGGTTAGTGGAAGCCAATGAATGGATTGGCAGAGAGGGGCAGCAGTCGCTGATCGGTTGGTAAGGTGTAGAGTCTAGCAGCAGCATTCATAATAGACTGAAGGGGGGATAGCCTGTGTAACAGTAGACCAGTGAGGAGGGAGTTGCAGTAATCGAGGCGGGATATAACCAAGGCTTGGATGAATTGTTTTGTGGTGTCATTGGTCAGGAAGGGGCAGATTTTGGAAATGTTCTGGAGTTTGAGGCGGCAGGATTTAGCCAGTGAGTGGATGTAGGGCCCAAAGGAGAGGTCAGAGTCTAGGATTATGCCTAGCACCCTGGCATGAGAGGAAAGACCAATGGTTGTGCTGTTGATCTTAATGGTAAGGTCGTGAGTGGGGGATCTGGGGGGAGGAAATATTACAAGCTCAGTTTTTGAAAGATTGAGTTTAAGGTAGTGGTGTGATATCCATGCTGATATGTCACTTAGTAGATTTGTGATACGTGAGTATACATAATTAGCACAATTACTAGATATATGACATTCTTTATCACTGTCAAAACTAAACAATGCCTGCTTTTGCCTATTCAGTGCTGCCTACTATCCTTGTCTGCCACCAAAGCCATCTAATACATTTTAGAATGTGCCTAAAACTCCTACCTCTTCACATATGACAGCTCTTATACCCGCCAATAGTTCTGGTGCTCCTCTTTCTGGGTGACCTCCATGTCATGCTGTTGCTTCCATTATTTCTGACTTATTGTGCTGAAACCATTATAAGGATAAAGAACTAGTTCCAGGTGTTTAACTTTAATCACTTGCTGACTGCATTATATCAGAATGACGGCTACAGTGCAGTCATCCAGCTCTGGGAGGGAGTCATATGCCACCCTCCAAGAACCGCACCCCCTGCGCAGATGCTCCGGCACGCACCTGGTGCTCTCTGTGACCGCTGTGTCTTTTGGATAGAACTGATCATATGTCATAGGAAAAGGCCAATCACAGTGGCCCTTTACAATGTGATCAGCTGTGGCCAATCACAACTGATCAGGATGTAAACACACTTGCTGGTTAGCGGCAGGACTTTCCTCAGAGCCAGCAAGTGTGAAAGGAGATATCTATACCAGGGGCGGACTGACCATTTGGAAACTCAGGCACTGCCCGAGGGCCCAGGGTCAGTAGGGGGCCCCATGAGATGCCCCTGGTACCTTTTTCATAGGCTTTTTTGAGTTTGGGCAAGGACACAAGGGTCCCATGATCTCCAATGGCCCGGGGTCCCCATGAGTTGTCAGTCCACCCCTGATCTATACTGATAATCAGGGTATTGATTATCAGCGCTCTGGTTATCAGTATAGCCCCAACGGTGTCCATCAGTGCTGCCTAATAAAGCTAATCAGGGTCCATCAGTGCTGCCAATCAGTGCTCATCAGTGCTGCCAGTCAGTGTTCATCACTGCTGCCATCAGTGTCACCTATTAGTTCCCTTCAGCACTGCTTATTAATGCTCTTTGGTGCTGCCTATTAGTGCCCATCATTACCACCTATCAGTGCCCATCACTGCCGCATATCAGTGCAGCCTCATCAGTGTCTCTTCATCAATGCCCACCAGTGACACCTCATCAGTGCTGGATGCAGGTCTAGTGTTAACATTTAGTTCTAAGGGATAGGTTGGGCTTTAGGACTCAGATAAAGGTTGGGTAAAATATTAGGGTGATCTTAAGTCCTCATGCACACTTGACGTTTTTACAGCGGCTGTGTTTTTGGCTTTTGATGTTTTTTTCTACAGCTAGTAAACCCCCCAGCATGTTATCCTATGTGTCCATGCATACATAGACTGTAATTAACGTTTTTTGGCAGGGACATTTTTTGGCTGGAAAAAAACCCCAGAACTAGTGGGCTTCTAGAGGAGTTTTTTAGCTGTAGAAATACTCTAATGCTGAAAAATGCGGCAAAAAGCGGTAAAATGCTGCAAACTGGCGCTTTTGGACTTTTTTTTACTAAAAGAACTGCTAAAAACTGCAAACATGGAAAAATGCAGGAGAACACCACTAATCGCAGCAAAACGCTAATGCAAAAACGCTAAAAAAAAGCTGAAAAACTCATGTTTTTAATGTGACTTTACACAGCTAACGTTACCGGCGTTATCAAAATGCCCCGTGTACATGGAGCCTAAAGGTTCAGTTGCAACAGTTGTAAAATTTGTTTCCAGTGCTAAAAGCTCCACTATGAGATCTCCTACATTGTCTCTACTGTTTGTATTTCATTTATACTACCAGATTAAATACATTATTAAAATTACAGTTCTACTTTAAACTTCGATTTGCACCTCAGAATATATAAAAAAAAATAGATAACTACTTTTGCATCTCATTTAGATAAATATTTTATTACAAATAATCCTTTCAACTTGCATAATTTAAACTGCTTATAATATTGGGAAAAGCATTGCATATTTATTGTATTAACCTGACTATGATAATGCTCAGAATTGCGTAAAACTGTCACATATCCCCTTCTAAAATGTATAGATCACTCATGGTAAGTGAGACCAGGATCAAACCCTCCAATTGTAGGAGATGAGAAAGAGGGGCACCTTTTAGCATACAGTGGGGATCGAAAGTTTGGGCACCCCAGCTAAAAATTTGTATTAATGTGCATAAAGAAGCCAAGGAAAGATGGAAAAATCTCCAAAAGGCATCAAATTACAGATTAGACATTCTTATAATATGTCAACAAAAGTTAGATTTTATTTCCATCATTTACACTTTCAAAATAACAGAAAACAAAAAAAATGGCGTCTGCAAAAGTTTGGGCACCCTGCAGAGTTAATATCTTGTACTGCCCCCTTTGGCAAGTATCACAGCTTGTAAACGCTTTTTGTAGCCAGACAAGAGTCTTTCAATTCTTGTTTGAGGTATCTTTGCCCATTCTTCCTTACAAAAGTCTTCCAGTTCTTTGAGATTTCTGGCTGTCTGTCACGCACTGCTCTTTTAAGGTCTATCCATAGATTTTCAATTATGTTGAGGTCAGGAGATTGTGAAGGCCATGGCAAAACCTTCAGTTTACGGCTCTTGATGTAATCCCCCATGGATTTTGAGGTGTGTTTAGGATCATTATCCATTTGTAGAAGCCATCCTCTCTTTAACTTCAGCTTTTTCACAGATGGCATCAAGTTACCATCCAAAATTTGCTGAAATTTTATTGAATACATTTTTCCTTCTACTCGTGAGATGTTCCCTGTGCCACTGGCTGCAACACAACCCCAAAGCATGATTGATCCAACCCCATGCTTAACAGTTGGACAGAGGTTCTTTTCAATAAATTCTGTGCCCCTTCTTCTCCAAACATACCTTTGCTCATTCCGGCCGAAAAGTTCAATTTTAACCTCATCGGTCCACAGAACTTGTTTCCAAAATGCATCAGGCTTGTCTATATGTTCATTTGCAAAGTTCAAACGATGATTTTTTGTGGTGAGGACGTAGAAGAGGTTTTCTTCTGATGACTCTTCCATGAAGACCATATTTGTACAAGTATCGTGCAGTCAAACGTGGGTTTTAAATTGTTTTTCTCACAATCCTGCGAGCTGTTCTGTCTGATATTTTTCTTGGTCTTCCAGATGTTGCTTTAACTTCCACTGTTCCTGATGACTGCCATTTCTTATTTACATTCCGAACAGAGGATATTGACATCTGAAAACGCTTTGCTATCTTCTTATAGCCTTCTCCAGCTTTGTGAGTGTCAACTATTTTCAGTTTCAGTTTTCTAGACAACTGCTTAGAAGAACCCATGGTGCTGATTGTTGGGGCAAGGTCAGATGAGTCTGGGCATTTAAAACCTTTGAGATTGACATAACCTGGTCTTCCCAGATGATGATTGAGAACAATCCATGACACTGGCAGGTCTCAGCTTTGCAAAGGGGGCAGTGCATGCTATAAATTCTGCAGGGTGCCCAAACATTTGCAGATGCCATTTTTTTGTTTTCTGCTATTTTGAAAGTGTAAATGATGGAAATAGAATCTAACTTTTGTTGACATATTATAAGAATGTCTAATCTGTAATTTGATGCCTTTTGGAGATTTTTTCATCTTTCCTTGGCTTCTTTATGCACATTAATACAAATTTTTAGCTGGGGTGCCCAAACTTTCGATCCCCACTGTAAAGTATT